CGTAGTGTTCCTTTCATCTGAAGCTTGAAGATTTTTATCACTTTTGGAAAATTAAAGGCAGTATCTTTTGAAGTATTACTTCTGCCCTCATTCTCTTTCTTCCAATTACACATCTTAGACCTTTCACCATATCCCTTATGTTTTTCTGCTCTTTCCTGTATCTCCTGTGCTATGTTTCTCTTTGCTTCAGTTTAGATATTATCTACTAAACCATCTTCCATTTTTCTAATTCTTCCCTCAGCTCTTTCCAATCGGCTGTTAAACCCATCCATTGATTTCAGATACTGCATTTTTCAGTGCTAGGATTATATCCTTTAAAAAAAATGACTTTCATTTATCTGCTGGAAATATCATTCTTATTTCTTTGAACATACGAAGCATAATTATTATAAAATCTGTATCAGATACCATGTTAACTTAATCCCGTGTGGCCCTGTCGCTATCCTCTTCATCTTCCTTGGTTTTCAAGTCTTTCGTTCTGTCTCCTTATATACCTTGTTACTTACTTTTGACTGAGTCCTAGATAGTGTATAGGAAAATTACACTGATAATTTGAGGCCTGAGATATTATCTTCTTCCACAGAAGATTTGTTTGCCTCTGGTGGGCAGATACGGGTGCTAACAATGTCAGATCACCACTTTCCAATCAGGGTTAAGATGTTTTGAAGCTGGAATAGAGCATTTGTGAAGGCTGGTCAATTTTTAGTTCATCATTATCCTTAGTGTGTAGCCTTTCAGGGCCCCAGTACAAAACCTGAATTGTTTATCAGGGCTCTTCCATTTTGGCATATTTAAGATTATCCTTCAGCCTTATCAACTTGTCAAACTCATTTTCAACTTCCTACTTTTACCCCACTGAGAACTGGCAGATACCTTTAGAGAGAAAATAGTCCCAAATATCACGTTTAACTCTGTTCATAAATTTCCTTCTCAGTGCTTAGATAATTCTCCAATGCCTTTAGATAGTTCTTCTTTAAAAATTATTCTTTTTAGCTGAGCTTTTCTAGTTGGCCTAAGCAGGAGGCTTGGTCAAAACTACCTAATCCACCATTGCCAGAAACAGAAATCCATTTTGAGATTAAATCTTGATTTTTTTTTTTAAATTTTAAATTTCTTAAAATTGAACCTTTTCTTCTTTATAAGTGTATTGTGAACATTAAATGAATTAATCTGTATAAAGTATTTAGAAAAGTGAATATAGTAAATATCATGTGAATATCATATTTAAGACTCATTTGGAAAATGAAATGCCTGTTTTCATAATATAAAAGGTAAAGCTTGACCCCCTCTGTTTGGCTATGGTCATACACAGAAAAGAGAGTGGCGATTATCAATCTCAAAGATTAGCAAGATTGGGAGGATGGGCCCAGGCAATATCCCAGTCTCCATGGGGTGTGATTTTTATTTATCAGAAGACAGAATGAGATAATGGTTAAAAAAATCAGTGAAAAGTAGGCATGTCCAGAAAGAAAACTTAGCTTCCTCTAGAACCCCACCCCTGCCACTCTCCAGCCCCTAGTTGTGACAACCAAAAATATCTGCAGACAATGCCAAATGTCTGCTGGTGGATAAGATACTGCAGATGGAGAATCACTGGTGCAGTGTGTTTAGATGTGCCAGTCTAGATAATCAAATCATTAAACCCCTTAGTACTCATCCACTGTCCCTCACCCCCACCTGGCTCCAAATGTAAAAACCCAAATGAGTTGTTTGGTATAACTTGGTATCACTTTTGTATAACTAATCATAAGACTGAAAGGAAGATGAAGATACCAGGGATGGGGTGGTAGGAAGAAGTATTTTGAGGATGATTACATTTGAAACATGAATTTGATCACTTAGTGTTGAAACTGTTCCTTATTTTCTAAAGACCTGTTCAAAGTCTCGTTGTTCCTGTCCTCAAAAGAAAAGACACATTGATCTAAGGAGGCCTCATCGACAGGAACTGTGTGGTCGCTGCAAAGACAAGAGATTCTCCTGTGGCAGTATTTACAGCTTTAAATACATTGTGTGACAAACAGTATGACTCGTACAGGACACCCAAACTCTTCTTGTGACTTACTGTACTGTTCCTCCTCTGCCACTTAGCTCTGACCTGGTATTGAAAATGGATTAAGCTTTTGTACTTTTTGTAGGTTGTATTACAGTTGTACAATGTGAATAGAATAAAGTAAATGCATGTAAAATAGCCCATGCAGTTACATTAATTGGTAATCCTGAGGTAAAAATGTCAATATAGCATTGGGAGATGGTAGACACTGTCACTTTTATGAAGGTAGAAGTGAAGAGGGACAGCAGTCATTCATCTGACACACTTTTATAAGCTGGCTGTTCTAAGCACTAGGAATAGAGATGATCAAGGGGCAAGGTTCTTGCCTTCAAGTAAATGCAATAATTATAGCAGATGCCTAAACAGCACAGTTAGTAGGTGCTGGTATTGTTTTAATTTATCACAGCAGCCACATTAAGTAGGAATCCTTAATACCCCTTCTTAATAGATGAGGAGAGGAAGCCACAGAGAGGTCATAGGAATAGTCAGATTTGAACCCAGGTAGACTAGGACTTGCTCCATGGCTTTACTACATCGATATTTTTTCTCAGATTCAGATATAGTAAGTGCTGTGATGGAAACAGTAGGCTATGAGAGAGTGACCCTTTTAGATTGGGTGGCTGGGAAGAGGGGACATGAGAATTGAGACCTTCAGTCTGAGGGAATTGGAAGAAAAGATGATTTTGATTCAAGGAGACAGCAAGAGCAAAGGCCCTGAGGAGTGGGACATGTACTTGGCATGTCCCATGAATAGTAGCCCCTGAAGCTGATGTGGGGCACAGACTGGAGAAGACAGGGTTCAGGCCATACCCACGAAGGGGTTTCAACAAGGCAGTGATGGCATGACATCAGATTCTTACTTTAAAAAACTTGTCACTGTGAGAGACGACCAGGTAAAATGGAAGGAGGGAGACTATTTAGAAGGTTCGAGAACACATGAGCAGAATGATGGCTTGGACAAGGGTGGTGGCCATGGAGTTGGGGAGAATCACGTCAATTCAAGATAATGTTTGGGAATGTGCCATACAAGATTGGAAGTGATGATGGAGAGAGAAAATGACTTTTAGATTTCTGCTATGAGCTACGGGGCACATGGAACTGAGCAGTATGACCATTAGGAACATGCTCTGGAGTCAGATTACCTAACTTCAAAACCTCCGTGTGGTACCTAGTTGTATAATTATGGGCAAGTTACAGGTACACCTGAGGGATATTGCAGGTTGGATTCCAGACTGCCACAATAAAGTGAATATTGCAATAAAACAAGTCAAATGAACTGTTTTGTTTCCCAGTACATATAAAAA